GCTTAATGTTCACTATAAGGTGTGGCATCTTTTCCCACGACGGGTATGTATATCAGACAGATATACCTAAATCTTAATCCATTAAATCGTATCATTTAGCAAAAATAGCCGGACATCATAATTCGAGATGATTTGAAATGGTTCAGTAAGGTTCGTCGTGCCCCTTACTCTTTCATCTAGCCAACCAGGGCTTACGCTCCTGGATATTCTTAACCGGTTCATTGATTCATTCGTAATCCCCATTTTTACGTACACTGGTCAAGTGATATTCGCCGGTGTTCTTAAGGTCAACCTTCAAGCGATAAAAATTATCAGAAACATCAGCAGCACGAACTCAAGATCCATAGCTACAAAGATCGTGCACCAGGTACTGAACCGAACTGTCTGCTTCGATCACCCGAACCCCGTTATATAACTCAATCATCCACTGAGTCTCAAGAATTGAAAGCACCAGAAACGAATTCGTATATATCTATGCAAGAACTGAATGGCATTCACGCAATACAACGTCTACGTGCACAATTTATGAATGAACTTTCATGCAGACTGTTTTTCTTTTCTTTTTTGTTACCGTTGTTTCAGTTTACTTCACATCTGTATAGCCCCACAAGTGATAGGTGCGTTTGCGTGATCTGTTGCACCAGAAGCTAATAAACTTGATTGATTCATTGATTGATGCAGCATATTGTCTAATGCATGTAAACACGGAAACCCAGTATGACCTGGTTCTAAGGCTTACTGACGTGTAACGAGATATTTTTTTCGGGCAATGTGTGGGAATTATTGGCTAAAATGTTTTCTCATTAGTCGTACAGGATTGTTGATTGGCGCTTATTGAGGTATGTGTTACCCATATTCAGGCATTTTACAGTAATTTGTGTTTGTAATGATTAGTTGCTTTGTACGTGTATGCTAGTGTGATTTCATTTGTTTTTAGCTACAGCAGACAGAATGGTACAAAATATGCAGTTTGATATGCCACAGCTGCCGATACCGCCGTCTAAGAAAACACTCGTTGAGGATAATACTTTAAATCTCATCGGCATTGTCAGAAATGCCAATGGAAAGGTATTGTTACTGCTGTTAAAATTCAAAGGTAAAATTTTTGGCTTCACCGGTCTTCTACCTCACTCCGTCGTATTTCAACATTTCTATGAAGTCGAGGAACTGAAAAAAAGGTTTACTCCTTAGTACTCATACGTTTCTTTGGCAATGAGTCGAAATATAATACATGAAAAAGTAGTTCGCAAAATTCTGTCTGTCTTATATACGCCCGTCTACTGCTTCAGCTAGGCAGTGTTTTCTAGGTAAACCATTATCGATGCTGTTAATTTTTGCAGTTAAATTTTGTTGCAGCGAATGAGCATTCAGAAGCGAATCTTTGGGCTAATTTGTGTCAATGTATGTGATCCGGATTTTTCCTTTTCCAAGGGACTTGTTGTACAATTGCTGCTTCCCCATATTGAGAAGTAACGATTGCGATAGTCTTGACACGTCTTGTTAATGCTTCTAGAAATGAAGGCGAAACAACTACTGCATGCGCAGTAGCTGACCGTCAGAACGCTCAGAGAGTGGCTGAGATTTACCTGGGCTAAGTGTATCGAAGGACTCTTTTCCAGACTTGAATCAAAGCTCAGATTCTGTCACAAGATCGCGAACCTTAAAAGCACTGTCTGGCACGTCTGCCTTAACGACCCCAAAACAATAAGCAGTCAGCGAAACTGCCTGTCAGATAGTAGATTCGCGACGCAGGGCCACGTTACCTTCCGTCTTACTAGTTGAATATTCAGTTGGGCCTGGATTTGTCACGGATCTCCCACTTAAGTGAATGCGATTCTTTAAGGCATTCAGGCTCACTTTTTCATTGCATTATTTGTGGTATTTGAGGTAGGTTTTATTTAACTCTGTTTTAGGTGTAATTCATTTAAGTCTGGTGGAAATGCGGTTTGTTTCTTATTAAATATTTATTACTTGAATTTATCCTAAAATTGTTTTAGTTCAAATTAAAACAAGGAAACTTGGGACCATTTTAATCAGTTGTTTTTGTTTTATTGACCGTTTGTCGATTCTAATGACTATTTTATGCTATATTTTAACTGCATAATCCACATAATGTAGTGAAATTTATGTTTCTTTTGTTAGTCTATCAGAGAAATTAAAATCTTTATTAAAATATATATGGTGGAATTGATTTCAGTATAAAATTTTATGCATTTTATGCATTTCTATTTTTTTGCATTTTGGTTTTGCATTTCTATTCACAGTTTAATTTTTTTAGAATAT